AGGACGCCCAGCAGAGCGACCAGGAGCGGCACTTCCACGCCCTGGACCACCTCCTGGGCCGGAGCCACCTCCGCCACCCCTGCCCGCATGGAAGCTTTCTTTGCGCGACCAACCATGCCAGCAAACCATCTCAGGCACTTCAGGATAGCAGCTCGCATGAACGAATGAAGGTTGAAATTCACCTGGCGTCAAGAGTTCTGAGGTGGAAGAAATCTTGTAAAGACTCATCCTCCAGACCTGCTCAAAATCGATGTGGTCTTTCAAGAACTCAAACAACCGATATGCCCGCACGTTCTGATCACTTGCCACGAGTTTCACCATGTCGGCATGAACACCACAAGCAGCATCCTTGTCCAGAGGCAGCGCAGTGAATACTTTTGAATTGTGATTCATGTAGCCAATATGGAGCCAAGACTCTTGGGTCGGACCTAAGAGCTCGGTTTCATCTGCAAGCGCAAGGATTCTCTGGGCTGCCATGTTCCACGACGTGGATGCCCCGGACCCTGCGGCATCCGCAGCATTCTCACTGGTGGCCGTTCTGTCAGCGGTTGCAGCGTGAAGTCGCAAAACCAGCATAGCACGGTCCAGCAAACGCCGGGCTTCCGGATGCTGGGGTTTAGACTTCTTTGCCTCTGCAGGCTGCATTTCCCCAACATTCTTTCTCTTCCGACGGATTGCTTGGATATGAGGCTTCAACAATTGGACGATGTTAGTGTGCATCCTGAAGGCCTTCAGCCCTTCACCCTGATGCACACAGAAACACAGCTGGCAGCAAGTGCTCGCACGGAATGCATGTGAAGAATCCAGGGCAGGTGCCCGCACATGTTCTGTGAGCACACAGCGTTCCTTCCAAGCCTCGTCTAGATCTGTGTTGACACCCAATCCATGCCTGGCAAACTGCCTGCACGTTGGCTTGAACATTTCCTCACAGGGCTGGGAAAGTATGGAGCATTGCTGGTTCCCTGACTACTTATGACTAGTTACTAGTTGGGCTGAGGGCCTATATATAGTGCCTATATTGCCTATATACTATATGCCACTGATTCGACTTAATCCTAGAAAAAATCCTGGCGATTCTTCAGAATCCCCGAATCGAGAAATCTGAAAAATTTCCAATATATTTTTACGATTCCCCGCATGAAGGCAAGTAGACCAATGTCTGATTAGGTCCTATAGGCCCAGGCCTATACTACACAGTTTATAGAATCTAGAATCATCAAAGATCTACAATCTAGAAGCTAGACTCAGCTAGCTAGACAGCTCGAGTCACCAAACACTATGACCTGAGCCTACAGGAAATTCCTAAACCGTTCATGAATCCATGTAAGAGCCAGCGATACAGCTGTCGATGTTCAAAAAATCTTGAAACAGACTGCCAATCCCTGGTTCTAATTCACCATGACCCCAAAACTGTCCTGGACAAAGCGGTCTGCCGGAGCATGGAACTGCGCGACACTTGGCTTTCCAGGTGTAAACACAAAGGCAGAGCCCAGCTGCTCAGAAATCTGGGTACGCTTTGCCACACCCTCTGCTTCATGCGCCGGAGCAAGTGCATCGGAAGTTGAAGCGATGGCTTCCTGGGCGGACTCCTCTTCCACTTTGTTCTGGATAGTCAGCTGCCTGCTCTCAGATCTCAAAGCAGAGAGCTGGGCCTGCAAGGAGTCTTGCAACATCGACACAGGGTCCTGTCCAGCAGCATGCATGCCGTGATCTCCAGGCATGCCCGGCATTCGACTGGTACTTGGCTTTCTTGCAGGTTTGCTGAAAGCACGCTTTCCTGCTCGGCTAGCCATGTGTCCCAACATACCAAGATCCTGGAACATGGCAAAGTCCGGGGTACTCTTGAGAGCCTGGTAAGTGCGACTCATTCTTGCCATGAAGCTCTTCGTCCACGGAGCGCCCTCTGATTTTGATCTCAAGTGCAGAAAAGCCCGCCATGCCCCACCTCCTTGCACCTGCCTTCTGGGTTTCTTGCGGCACTTTGGCTGCTTCCGAACCTTGGATGCAAAAGGCCGCCGATTGAGAGCTGCTCGACGAAGGACCCAGTGGGCACAGACTGTATCAAAGGTTGTGGTCCAAGCATGAACGGACTTGCTTTGGATTGCTCTGCGTATCGTAGCATGGTTCCGCTCCAAATCCAGGATGTCCAAATGAAAATGCTGGGCCAATGTTCGAAGCACTTGTGAGCATTCTTCAGACTGTAGTTGGTTGCGATACAAAGCAAGAACTGAGATTGTAAGCTCATCGTACAGGCAATGAGGCAGAACAAACTTCTCGTCTTGCCCCTGGCGCAGGGTGCGGAAAAGAGCAACAGGTGATCCTGAAGCCATGTGCCAAATCAATTGATGACTGGCACAAGCGGCAACAGATAACATTCGGAAAGCAAGCACCCTCATCGCCTCATGGCAACCGACAGCAGGTAGACCCGCCATGGCAGACTGCATCATCTCCCGAATGTCACCTTCAAAGGTATTCTGCGTAGTGTCAGAAAAAAATTCCAACACTGCTGCCTCTCGGACTTCCCCTCGGGACGCCTTAGCCAACTGCTGCTTCGCAAAAGCCTCCGAGGCCAAGTGAACGATTTTGAACAGGATGTGCAGGGTGGCCTTCATGCAGTATCGCATACAAACCAAGATGGGCCCTGGCCTGCAAGACACCCACGCCAAGGCCTTTCGCTTATTGGCCTTGTTGAATTCTGCCCAGTTGATATTCGGGTCCTGGTCTGAGGACTCTTGTGCTGGCCGAATTGCAGCCTCCTCAAGAAGGGGCCCAGGATCTATGAGACCATCATCGCTGCATGGAGCCTCGTTGTGCACCGCTGCCACTCGGTCTGCCAAGCTGTCCCAGCCTGCTCGGCCTGCTCGGCCCACACTCTCTGACTGCTGCTTGTGCGCAAACAAACCCATGGGAATGGAGGACGTACGGGAAACCCAAAGCCGAACCAGCGGCTCCAGGAGGTTGTGGTGTGAGCTGAGGAGCCCACACCATGCGATACATAGTTCCCCGCCTAACCATTTGGAACGGTTGAAATGGGGGCACTTGTGTGGAAGAAGGGCGGCAACCGTGAATCTCACCCACACAGCTTCAATCATGGCTTTGTTGATGCTGCTATCCTCAGTATAGTAGCTCACGTGACCTTCATCCTGCAGGTCACCGTTCATCAAAGCTGATAAGATAAGACGCTGCCTCTTTCGAAGAGAGGCCGACTTGGAAGGAGCACCAACTGGAAGGAACAAGTCGTGGAGGGCCTCTTGGTGCTGCCGGAAGTGCACCGGGGGTGAGCTGTGTCTCACCACGAGCTTCTCGGACAGTAGCTGCGAAAGCAGCTCCTTCAAGAGAGCCGTGGTGCCACTGGCCTGCATGGACAGGGCCACACTCAACAGGCCTGAAATATGGCCTGAAATCAGCTTGAACTGCGTTGTCTGAATCGCGGCAGCCTTGTGCAACAAACAGAAATGATGATTCTTGACCCAGCCAGTCAAGTCGCTTTGCAAACTTCGCTCTGCTGCAATGTTTGCAGTGTAACGGTCACTGCAGACAAAATCACAAACCAGTTTGAATTTGTCTTCCATGCCATCTGGCAGCTTCACTGAACGCTGGATCTGTCTCTGTGTCTCTGCTATATTCTCTGCACTTGTCTTGTCGACTACGTGCAGCCAAGCCAGGCACTCACCATGAAGCTCCTGGTACATGTAGTGATCATGGTTAGGAGCCTTGCGACGAACGAGAGCAGCAAATTGTAGTTCTGATTGCATCACTTTTGCAGATCCAACAGCCTGAGCCTGAGCAGAATCCAAAGCAATGCTTCCATCTGCCTCCTCGCGCAAACGCAGGCGGAAGGGACTCTCATCGTATCGCCGGCCGCGAATCAGAACAAGGCCTTCAAAGCTTTCGTTGGACAACATATCCAGAATTCGCTGAAACGTCATTTGCCAAAGCAGACTGGAGGATTGCAACAAGGCCTCCGCTGCTCTTCTATAGTCCCTCTGCACACTTTTAGTGTCGATGTTCGATCTCACGGCCATAGCTGTCAGCTTCCATGACGACATAGAACTGGAGTGCTCAAGAATCGCAGTCACAGGATTTTGAGAGTCCGGGATGACGGGCTTTGACATCTGCTGTTTTGTGAAACGACATAGCCTTGCCTGCAAGTCGGTTGCACAAAATGTCAAGGCTTGGAAATCCAAGCCACCATCATCAACCTGGGCAGGCGCTGCAACCTGCAACCTCGCAGCTCTGGCTGCCTCCAGTGCCTGAGCTTGTTGAGCAACGGCATCCTTCAGCTCTTGAGTTTGTCCCGGTCTACGTCCACGACCAGTCCGAACATCCACTGATTCCCGATTCTCCACGTGTACCGCCTGCCCTGTATGCTGACTTTCAATCAAGTCATCTGCAAGACTTTCCCAGCCCATGTGCAGCGAAAAACAGCACAATGCAATCACAAATGTGCACCCGGGGAGGAATTGCAAAGAAGGTCTCATGGCTCACACGTTACATGCAATTATGGCCGCCATATTATGGCCCATCGGCTATGGCCTTTCACCAGACATATAGCGGCCCAGCGCCTAGAGAAAAGAGTAGCTATAGTGCACTGGCTTCTGGCGCCTAGAGGTGCCATCTAGAATCTAGAAGCTAGAGTCCAGCTAGGCCGCTAGGCAGCTGCAGCTAGAGTCTAGAGTCTAGAGGCAACCAAGAAGAGTAAGTTAGAATACATGAGACTCCGATAAACCGTTAGAATCCGTTAGAATCTGCAGTCTACCATCACCTTGCACAGCAACCCAACCTTGCTGCGCCCAGAAGATTTGAAGCTTTGGCGCCACAATCCCGAACACATCCGTTAGCAAAGAATCATGAAGAGCCTGTGTTGGGGAGCCCTTGATTAGCTGCGCTCGATTTACATTACATCTGCATGGCTTGTCTTCGAGCCCTGGAAGCTTGAAGCAAGTCCAAGTCACCAAATCACAACAATCACTTGTGACTAGTGACTAGTCCCTACTATGTTACCGTGCACTCTGCGAGTTTGCAGGCCTGCTCCGAGATATGTTCGCCCAGATTGACATGTCCATGTCGAGCTTGATGATCCAGTAGCCGCCTTTCTGGAAAGGGAGCGCCTTGAAGCCGTCCAGGAACCTGATTCTTGAGGGCGTTTGGTCACATGGATTTAAGGTTTAGGGAGTTTGAGGTTTAGGGCCTAGGGCCTAGGGATGATTGGACAAAGCAGGCATCAGTCTCACTCGTCACTAGCCCAGAAACCCCACAAAATCAGGTGGTCCTTCAACTGGATTCAGTCGACAGGCTTCTAAAGTCCAACTGTGAAGTCGCAACCTTGAAATCTGAACGGAAACTAGCCCGGCAACCCAGGGGAGGTTATGGTCCTAGGGCCTAGGGTTCGGGTTGATGGTCTTGGGGCCTTATTGAGGATCCCTGAAGGCCAATCATATGGAGGCTGCACGTCACAAAACAAGACTGCAAAACCTTGCCACCCTTCACCACCATGTGCAACTCGTGAAACAAGCCACAAGCCATCCCTATCCGAGGCCGCCTCACTTGAAGGCCCTGAACCAACCGAAAACTCACCGACAGTGGTCAATAAAGAATAATGAAGACAAGAAGCGTATTCAGAGGAGTCTCTGTAGTCTCTGAATGCACTTTCAACTGGAAACCCGCAGACTGCTCCATCACAAGTGCAGCTGGTTCAAAGGTTTGGGCGGCCTCATAGATATGTCGGAAAGTTAAGTCGTAAGCTGCATGCTGGTTCACAGACTCTTTGTGGAAGCGCTTTCCCCGCATGCAACTGAATGGGGCACAAGGTGTGCCTATCACCAACAAATCCACATCTTCGGACTCACCCTCGCTCTTGACTCTCTTGTGTGCAGCGATCTGTGCCTGAACAGACTCATACTGACAGCCGATCTCGAAATTCGCTGCCTGGTAGGCCCTGTAGGCCTTGCATGTCTCCGACGTGGAGAGGCACCGGAAGGGGATTCCCAGCTCCTGCACAAAGGAAGACATCATAGTCATAGACATAGACATGGGAGAGAGGGAAGGAGGGAGGGAGGGAGGGAGGGAGGGAGGGAGAGGGAGAAG